TTTTTTTGTTGATGTATGTTACTGTCTGTATAGGTTTTAGTCCCAATTCCATATTACCATGCTATGACTGATATTTATGCAAAAACAATATCTAAGGCGCTGGTCAAAATTTTCAGTGGTAAATGTGCAAGCTAAAAAATCTGGGCCCAGTTTTATAAAGGTCGTTTAGCACTAACCAGTGGATAAGCCTAACCAGTGAATAAATTCTCCTAACACCCATTAACTAAAAGATGGTTAAATTGTGTTTCATATACAGTCTTCTGACGGAAAACAACCAATTAGTTAACTGGCCAGTGTTTAACTAGATTAAATAATTATTATAAAGGTCAGTTAACTACCAGGGCCCAGTTTTATAAAGGACGTTTAGCACTAACCAGTGTTTAACTCTAACCAGACCTTAATAGTCTGTTAGTAAACTGACCTTTAAATAATTATTTAATCCAGTCAGACACTGGCCAGTTAACTGGCCAGTTGGCTGTTTTCTGTTAGAAGACTGTATATAAAACACAATTAAACCATCTTTTAGTTAATGGGTGTTAGGGGAATTTATCCACTGGTTAGGCTTATCCACTGGTTAGTGCTAAACGTCCTTTATAAAACTGGGCCCAGACTGTTTAGGTCTGGTTAGAGTTAAACACTGGTTAGTGCTAAATGTCCTTTATAAAACTTGGCCCTGTATTTTAAATGTTATTTGTGTTACATGTGACATTGATAAGATGAGTGGATCGTTTCTTTCATTTTTATTGACAGATAAGTATTTTTAACGGATATATATATTTCTTTCAAATTCTTTATTCAACATATACAACATACTGAAAAATGTTGAACAATTTTATCTGGACTGTTATGATAGTAGAAAAAAATGATAAATTAACATGATTATAGTAATAAATCCACCTTCAAAACCAAGGCTTCATGCTGTTACAATCTCTACCATGTGTTGGACTGTCAATGATATAATTTAAAAATGCACTCTTTGGTTGTTTTATGTTAAATACTTTTGGCAAAAAAAAAAAAAAAAATCCAAGACATTACAATGCATTACCAGTACACTTCATTTGCATTAATTATCAAGTACAACCGGCTGTTTAAGAACGTGAACCTTTTTTGTCACAGTGTTTACTAGTTATACTGTGAATAAAATGAAAAGAAAAATGTCATAAAATACATTAAAGCTTTGTGATCAAGTGTGGTAATGTATATAATTTCAAAATAGTGTCAATTTCAACATTAATCGCAATATCATTATTTTGCATGTTCCTTTACGAAATTTTGCTCATGAATCTTAGAGAGAGCATGATTAATGTATACTAAACTGCAAAATGTCTGTTTCCCTCCTTTTTTCATTTCCCCTTCCTTTTTGTCTTTCTGTTTGAATATTATAAGCCAACAATAAGTTGAAAACCATCGCCTATAAATATGCAGCATTAATCAATTATTATTAAAAAATTATAGTGACCATCAAATCTATATATGTGCCTTTAGTGGCTTTAGTCCTGTCGAAATACTCAGTAAATATATCTTTTATATCTCTATCAACAGAGATATGGAAACAAATACATAAAGAACAATCTATTCACAAAACCATATGTATGATACATTGTATACTAACAGAAGTTAACTGGCAACTTAAGCACCCCGCACACGGTGAGCAATTGGCGCGCGCCACTTGCGCTGCGGCAGATGCTCGCGCTCCTCAGCATGTCTTATTATAAAATGCATTTTAAGTGTATCACCGCGACACCGCTCTTGCCTAGTACGCGATGTGATAGTGACGATTCTCAGCGGGGTTGAAAAGCATTGCATCACCACTCAAAATTTGTTCAGGGTATGATACTGTGTAATGCGATCTGATACACACCTTGAAAACGGGAAGTGTGGTCTGATCTACCGGTGAATTCTGGATCATTCGGTGCCGAGTCTGGTAGTTGGGTAGGCCTGTACCTGATGACCCCCATTCTGATTACATCAACGCTAACTATATAGATGTAAGTACACTTATTGGCTTTGGAGTCACTTTTTCTGTTCTTGTTTATACATGTTAACATATTTGTTTTGGAGTATTTGGAGGATTTTTGGCGAATGGTCTGGCAAGATTCACCTCTGATTGTCATGTTGACCAACTTGACGGAGGATGCTAAGGTGCTTGGGAAATTAATATATTTATATATATATATATTATGTATAAACGATTATAAAACTTTCTGTTTTGCTGGGTAAGAGTGGTTTCAGTGATATTTTAGTTGCTATACACCAGTATATATTTGACATAAGTGGTTATAATATAATATAATATAATATAATATAATATAATATAATATAATATAATCAGGCAAAGTGCGCTAACTATTGGCCTGACAAAGACAGCAAACAATTTGGCTTCATAGCCGTGACTTTAAAGAAGGTAGAGACTCACCCAGACTTTACAGTGCGAACGCTGCATATATCTATGGTTAAGTCATCAGATGAGAGTTAAATTCTTTGTTAAATAAATTAACCAAGTTAAGCGATTCTCAACAACCGTTTTCCCACCAATTTGTTATTTAAAACGGTTAGCAGATATAGTATACGAGGGTATATGGTTCTTGTAATGCGTGGTAGGTTGACGGTACACCAACTATACGTAAAATATATGGAAAATATACCGTTACCGTTAGTGATGTGAAGGTAGACCAGCTATATCGAAGATAAACTGTTGTCAGTGATAGTAGTTGTACCTATAATTTGTTTCAGTCCAATTCCTCCATCAGAACAGTGCAACAATTCCATTTCACTGGCTGGCCTGACCACGGAGTGCCCCTAAACGCCTCAGCTTGGTGCAGTTCCGAGATAAGGTCAAAAGTTATCAGAGAACGGCGCAATGTCGAGGTCCCATCATTGTTCATAGCAGGTTTGGATGAGTTAGAATGTTGATAAAGGCAAATAACCAGTTAACCTATCTGCTGTATTAGTGTGATACATACCGGTACTTAAGTCAGTTTATGAAACAACAGTCTTATTAATACGCTATCATATTATTTTTATTTTTTCGATTACAGCATTTAGTACTTTTACAAGTTGAGATCTATATGTGTTTTTGTTGGTTTTAAGGTTCTTCAACACATGTTTGTTGGATCTGATGACACCAACAAATCAGCATTGGATTCAGTCAATGTAAACAAAAACCGTGTCAGGAACATTAACCCAGCAAACGGATGCGGTGCTGACAACATCAATGCTGTCTACATCGATGTAAGCCAGTTCATTCTGTTTTTAACGAGATATTGAATCTGATATTAAAACATTGCAATATTTGAAATATATACGGTAGGATAGAATCGTTGAACACGCTGATTTACATGTATAATCGTGTGCATATCTTATAGGCATCGAGTATATCTGCAAGTATTCATTATGGTATTTTAATGGTTCTTCCAGGGTTACCGCCGTGCTGATACCTACATCGTGACGCAGATGCCTTTATCTGATACTGTGGTGGATTTCTGGAGAATGATGTATGATCATAGTTCTGCTACAATAGTCATGGTGAACGAAGCAGCAGAATTGGCAAGAGTAAGCCTTGTTTAAGTGAAGTCTTTATGTTAGGATAATTATATATTAATGAAAATAATCATAATGACATAACTCATAAGAATGTACACTGAATTTGCCCTGAGACTGTTTCGTTGGGATGCGATATTGCAAATATACCAACATTGATGTTTTTTATGGTTTTCTATTTTTTAATATTTTAGTTTGGAACACTATCTATCAAGATGACATATCACATTCTATCCACTATTACTGTATTTATCTTTTTAGACAGATGCAATGTACGTGCCTAAATCTGGTTCTACGACCTATGGGCCTTTCACAGTGGAAGTGATATCTACGCACGATATTGGGAATTCTTGTGCTGTCAAGGATTTGACGCTAAAAAGTAGAAATCGGGTAAATAGCTTATCAATAGTCAATTACAGTTCATTTCATTCACTTAAATAAGATACAAATAATTTTGCTATCGACCAACAATGGTTCTTCGCTCGCGCGTGTGTGTGAAATTTTTGTATATTAACTCATTTAGAAAATCTCGGATCACGTCGTGATGCTGTTTTTTTAAGACGCTAGTTTATTCATTTTTTCTTTTAAGTCGGCTCCTTGTTTGTTTTTTATACAGCACCTATCTTCTCACATGGTTTGTATTGGAAAATAAGACTTGGTTCCCATACTTAGATCGATCCATCCAGATCAACCTAACTCCCATGGGGTTCACGTTAAATTGCTATCAGCTCAGGAGGCTTAATTGTCTGTCACGCCTACCAAATCATCTAGGGGTAAAGATAATTACCCCCTAACAGCTTTACTAGGCGTGACCGGTTAATTTGATAGCAATTTATTGAGACTCCCCAGGGAGATAGATTGATCCAAATATCTGTGGGAATGGTCCCTTCTATTTTCGGTACTTGGCCATTATTTTCTCACTTCACACTTTTACGGTATTGATAAAGTTTGCGTTGTGTTGCACATGGATTCGAATATCTAAATGTGTCAAAATGTTTGTTTAAAACATCATTCTTTTTAAGTGTATTTTTAAGTGTCTTTTTTTAAGTGTATAAATGTAGGCCTACACTTTTTCCATCTGAATTCGAAATTATTTAATTTTTCAAAGTAATGAAAAGTTTTATTTTAGGAACGGAGCCCACCAGAGTGTCGTTTTCTGTGCCGTGTCCAGAATATTAGAGAAGATGAAAGTGGAACAACAGGTGGACGTGTTTCACACAGTCAAAGCCGTGCGAATCAACATACCGAAGTTCATAGACAGTTTGGTATGTGGTTGACTTTGCTATAGAATCCTTGTGAAATATCTTCATATGTGTATATCTTTCGCTCGTCATATTTTTAGAATTATGTGGTAGCTGTAAATGAACGAACTGTGGATGGGTAGAGTTAGTTTTACTGTGCAGTATCATTCACCGTAAATGTTTATCACCAATTCATTCTTTCCAGGAGCAATACAGGTTCTGTTATGCTGCAGTTGAGGAGTACGCCAGGAGATTTGACACTTACCCCAACTTCCATATATAACATTGCGCACTCCTTGAACATGTGGGCCTACTACATGTAGTAACCTTGCATGGTGCCCTGTACATACAGCTGAAATATATGCGCAGTTATTCAGTGTTGGAGACGAATTTTTCCAATGTTTATATCTTATTGCACCCGAGATCTGCTTCATTCTTTGCCATTGCTTCGAAACATAAATTCAACTGGAGTGGATACTTTTTTCATAAATGGTGCCTATACCTTAGAATTATTATATGTGCATGTACCAGCACTACGCTTTAGTGCGGTTTGACACTAAATAAAGTTCTTTCGTTCCTATATCAGACTAGAAAATAATTCGCCCCCATGCTCATTAAAGAAATGAGCTTATTCAAACTCGAAGAACTGCTTATAGTTCTTTAATACCCATTACAAAGTAATGCCATTTATATGCGCTGGATTATTTCAGGCTGTGCATAGGTGAATAGACTTAGGCTTTACGCGTATTGTAACTCAATCGTAGAGGTCTCCTTTACTTTTAATCTCGCCAAAAGCTAGCATATAACAATTATTAATCTCAGTAAATATACTTTTAAAAAACGATCGATATCTAACGTTCAAAATTAATTTCTGTACAATGATCAATTCCTGCACAACGAAGGTTCACCTAACACAATTAGCGCAGTGGTTTATCTCCCAATCACAACGAAAATGGGCTATTTGAACATATATAAATTTGCTTTTGTACGCTTTTTCTCATTTTTATTTGAATCATTATATGCTTAGAATTGTGTATTGATAATTATATGTAATAGTCTATAAATAACAAGTCTTTTAGAATATATGTAGGTTTCGTTATACGTTTAATTTGAATGTGACGTCGTTTAGGGGTAGATGTTTAGGGAAATGTGTAGATCCCCATACATATACATAACCAAATGTTAGGCCATTGGTTTGCTCTTCGCCAACTTTTTGCTCTATCATATGGGGAATGTATGTTTTATAAGTTTATGTAATTTTATGTAGTAACTTTCCCCCATCTTGTAACTTCGTATCAAATTTCATTTCGTCATTTAAATAAATGACAATATCAGTCATGTGGACTTATTTCTTATTTAATTTTGAGCAAAAACCGAGCTTCGTTGTGCTTTTGAACATTTGACTACATAAATATGGTTATTTTGATCAGAAACGGCGGGAATTAATTGTTTTGCGGAGAAAAAATAAAATCGACCGGACGGAATGCCTTTTTATGTCTCCTCCTCCTTCCTAGTGCACCACAAACTTTCATAATTCCATTCACAACAAGAAAGAAGGAAACAAAGAATATTGGTTGTTCGATATTTGGCCAAACAAGGCCGCATTTATTATATAACCCCACTATACTAACAATGTAATCAATTGTTGCCTATTATAAATGTTATGACCTAAGGGATAAAAGTTATATATCAAATATTCGATACGACTCATCATCCTAAAAATTATACTGCAATGAGTCAGCAAAAGTTTTAATTTACAAACAATTTTGCTTTTTTTACCCCTTGTCCTGAGGTAGCATAGGTAACATGATAGAAACCGGATCAAACGTGAGAAAGATTACATATCACATGTGGCCTTGTCTAGTTAGTATCTGACACACGTATAACAATGAAAATATACTAAACCAAAATTCTAGGTCATGTCCAGTTTTCAGGTTCGAAAAACAGCTTTAAAGCAAAGATGCATAACAAATTTTATTATATAAACATTTTATTGATAGATAAACACACTTGATTAAAGATTAAGAGAACAATAAAGCCTATTTGGTACATTATTATTCAACAACACCCTATTTGGTTAATAATCTAACTCGGCACACGATTTTGTCATGTATTTATGTACGTATATATTTTCTACCTGTATAAAGACAATTTCCGTTATACATAAATTTTGAAAACGCTATATCATTTCCCTTTACTTGCTTGTAATTTCATCGGCTCCATTTATTAACTTCTAGTTGTACGTCATGCTTATGTTTACATCAAAATATTTTCCCTTGCCCTTTCATGATAAACATAAATTGCCAACCAGCCCCCCCCCCCCCCCACGTTATACGATGGACTGGCCTTGGATGTGATAAACCGCGTACCCTTCCGCAATAAGTTATACTAGTATATGTAACTGTGTATATTTAGTTCAATTCGCATTTTGCTTTTAAAATCTGTTTGCTAATTCGTCTTCTTTCACTGAGCATATATTCATACAAGAACTTGTATGTACTTTTTCATAATAATAATAATAAATACTGCAACCACCAGTCTGCTTCTACTTCCGCCTCTTTTTATCAAAAGTAATCAAACGCTTGTCAGGGAAGTAACGAAAGCAGCGACAAGATCATCCATGCAGTTGGTACATGTATTACGGCGGATACATGTTTTAAACTCTTGTGTTAAGTGTGTTAAGTATAAATGTATCTCTTTTAACATACGTTTATACTAAATGTAGACACATACCTGTAATTCTGCACGAACTTTTCCCCTAAACATGCTCGGATATTGTGTCCGAGAAGGATATCAAAGAATTTTTTTGTGGAATTTGTTGAAGACATCTTAACTTTTCGTTTGCGATGCATTTCCGTTCACAGAGTTGTAAATGAAAAATAAGTACCCTACAGTGATTGACGTGTTTTCGTCAGTAAACACAAACTCCCCGATTTATACCCGTCGTATCTATTACCATAAGTTAGATGACTGTGACTTGAAGTCACCTTTCAAATAAATTGATCCCCCTGTTTACTCTTCCAAGATAACAGCCACCGAGATAAAACATTTGGCTCTATACGCATACCTTATCTTCATATCCTTACGACAGGCTGTTAGCTCAGGACGTGTTTTACTGGGTGTTTATTGGGCGTTGTAGACGTTGAACGATGAAATACTTCCTGGTTGTATGGACCCTCATTTTCTCAGGTAAATCAGTTTAATTTCGATGAGTTCCAATCCATTAGTGTTAAGCGGACATATGTACATGTACTAGTACATCTAACTGTCATTTCAATTTTACAAGAGTTTTAAATATTCAGGACTTGTGTGACGCCAGGTGTTTCGTTTACTTTGGTTTAAACGCCATATTGAGCTGAGCATTAGCTTTATCATTGATATAATGGGTTTTAGAATACCATCATTTTTTTAAAAATTTGTTGTTTTGTGTCTGGGGAATGTAAAGACATGAATGCTTGCTTAAACACACAACCGTACATGGCATAATGACAATAGTAATGATCATGTACATAGAAAGTAACGAAGCTGTGACACTGATAGAGGGGAAGGGGTTCTGGCCGAAATGATTTGATATCTATGGTTTGTAAACATTTCGCTTACTGGCCCTATTCTTCCATAAATAAAATCAAGCTTAAGTCCTAAATATACAATATCTTTTCAGTTCGACTTTTTCAGTTTCGATTGTTCAAGGACGGATATCAAAAGTCAGTGCAACACTTAAGTGTCCCGTATCTTATCATGTAGGGCCATTGGTTGTTTACTTATAGATATGAAACTGGTTTATGACACCGTGCCAAAAACAAGTTGACTGAACAAAACTTATCTCATGTAGGCTAACAATCAAAATGTATTAGGTGATGCATTTTGTCAACGTTTATCGCGATGTTTGTGTGGCGGGACATATTCATGTGCAATAAATAAACGAGACAAATTCCGCAAATACCCTTGATGGTAAGCTTATCCTCTTTTACGTGTCAAGGGTACATTTTAATGAGAGAAAGTGTCATTACGAGACAAATAAGTAAAATTAAATTTAGCACCTGAATGATTCTTGACATCTCTCAACTCGATGGGCGTTGGAGATCAATGGCATACTCATGTTATCAAATCGGGAAACAAATAAAAAAATTAATTGATCTTATATGTTGTAAAGGTGCTTTCTAATGGTGATTTTATGTTTTGTATGATTATAGTCACGGTTAGGAATTTTGCCGCTGCTTATTACACACACGCGCGCGCGCGCGCGGACGTTATCAGAATCATCTGAAATTTTTAGTTATTTTCAGAACACGTGTTTATTAGAATCAGCTCACTGAGATACACAATGACCTCCCAGGTCAATACACACATCATATAGGTGGCGCGCTGCACAATATGTGACATCNTTTTTTTTTTTTTTCATTCTCTTGTATATAAAATATTGGTTCCCATAGCAAAATGTCCTTTTATTTGGACCCTTTTTGTTTAGTGATGTTTCATTTTCTGGAGTGTATAATTGATTTTCTGTTCTGTGATATTACCAGTGTTTTCAATATGCAAAAGTAAACATATTAACACACAAATGTATAATACCTTTCTTTGCAGCTTCAAGAATTGCTGGTCAAGATTCTGCTGGATGGTCAGCCTATTGAAATGGTGGAAGATTTGCTCGCTGTGACCAGTATAGGCAACTGGACAGTGAACACAGCTGTAGTGGAGGCACTGGCAGTTATTACTGATTCTTACAGGTAAAGACCTTTGTACATTCCCAGCTTTGAAAGCTCATTGTATATTATCATATGATATATATGAAACTAACCAAAGTGCAGCAGCAACATGTGTTTATTACTTTACTACATTTTTCATCCATGGCTGGCACCCTTTGATATGTGAAATCTTGTGAAAGTGCTTAGACATTAATTTTATGTCTCTAAAAATTCTCCCTTGGAGGCCTTTTATTTATATTCCTTTTTCTTCTGTCAGGAATCCAGACACGGCCAGCGTTATGCTACAGGAGAAAGAGGGCCTGGAGGTGCTGAAGTCTTTAGTCATTCAAGTCAGTGAACACCACAAACATGGGTAAGAAAACTCCATTTCTGCATTTAAATGCATTTTTAATTTACTCCTGCAAAATATATTTTTTCAGATTACATATTAACTTGCTATAGAATAGCATCACATACAGATGTTAATAATAATAATAATAATTGTAATAGATCATTAGATATATTTATTTTTCTTTTTATCAGGGGAGAGCTTGTAAATCCAGAGGATATTATTAACCTCTTACGTCCATTTTGTGCTGACGCAATTGTTCCTGTGGAGCCAAGACTAGATGTCCTCCAAATACTGGAGCAAGTATGTAATGTAACATGAGGATTATCATGAAAAAAAATCAGTCAATGTTATCAAATAATGTTAAAAGGTTTTTTTTTATTTAAAAAAAATGTATTAGTTTATCCCAATAAAAGGATTAATGCAAAATAGAAAGTTTGGATGATGATATGTAAATTGTAGGCAAAATGAAAACAAAACCATTTAGAGATAATTTTTTTGATTGAGATATAAGGTACATGAAAGATGGCATATACATTAGAAAATAGTGGGTTAGGATGACAAAATATTTTTCAGTGCTTTGATTTGACTGATAACGACCTAGTCCTATTGGTGCTATACAGAACTGATGCCATTGTATCTACAGCTTGGGAAGATAAGAAGGTAAGCAATAACATGAAATGATCATAACATCTCTCTGAATTCCAAGACCTTTGTTTTTTAAGACTTTTCCCAGTTAGAAGTGTTTTTAAAAATATTTTGTATCAGTAACTATTCTTCTAAAACATTTTTGGTAGATGGTTTTCTGGATTCTTGTGGATACATTTTGTCTTTTTTTCCAGCTGACAGAGGCAGACATTAACTGTGACAGTGCCAGACAGAAGTTGTTCAACTCACTTCTGGGCTGCAGTGCAAACATGGCACAATATCTGGCTCTCAGTAAAATGCTCCGTGTGTGGCCCCTGCTCAGTAGCTTCAAAACCAGGTAGCACATGGAAGATATAGTTGATTACTCATAGTAGCTTATCTGTCATGCATATGTGCACACATGCAGCCATGCATACATTATAACAACTGCCTTGTTGTCAGGACACGTGTTTATTAGAATCAGCTCACTGAGATACACAATGACCTCCCAGGTCAATACACACATCATATAGGTGGCGCGCTGCACAATATGTGACATCTCCCCTTTTATGAAGAAACAGGCACTGTACAAGACTTTAACTTTAAACTTTAACTTTGTTAGAAATAGTGGCTTGTGTGAACCATTCAAAGCAGTGCCTGACTAAAGAGCAACAGTGAAACATTAACTTCATTAACAAACTGCATAAATCACTGTTCAAAGTTTTCAATAAACAAGCTGCATAAAGTCACTGTTCAGTTTTCAATAAACAAACTTTCAATAAACAGTCTTTTCAAAACACACACAAAGTTTAACTTACTAGTCTACAAAACACAACACCCAAAGGAATAACTGATTATAAGTGTCAATGTTCCTTCTGTTGATAAACTGTCAACTTTGTAACTCCAGACTAGTAACTTTTCACAGAAACATAAACACAGTTTAGGTTAATGAACCATGAAAGTACACATGCACTGAGATGTCATCAAAACAAACAAAACAAAACAAAAGGCAGAGGTTGCTAGCACATGCCTTATTTATAGATTAAGCCTATCTGGAGGTTTACTAAGCCTTCCGGACCTGGTATATTTCTCACATTGAACTCCAGATTTCTCAGTGCTTTCCTGGTGTTTCTTTTGATGATATTTTTTAAGTGGCGACTCAGATTTACAGTCCTGATTGACTGGTGACTCGGGTTTACTTGTTTCATGGAGATCAGGTATTTCCTGCAAATCATTGGAAAATTTGAAGTTCCCTTTTCTGAGGTGTCTTCTGTTCCTCCTGAATGAATGACCATTGTAGCTTACTACATAAGACCGAGGATGTGCGTCCCTCTTTACAACTGATGCGGGCTTCCATTCTCCCTGGCACTGAAGACCGACTGATTCTCCTGGAGTTAACTCGGGCAACTCCTTTGCTTTTCTGTCATATATTCTCTTGTACCTCTGCTGTTGTCTATGTAGCTGCTGCTTTGGAAACACTACTTGTGGTTCAAGTAGCTTGGTAGCTGTTGGAATCTTAGAACGTAAAGCTCTGCTCATTAGCATCTGGGCTGGGGAAAAATCCATTCCTGAGATTGGAGTATTACGATACTCCAGCAAGGCAATGTATGGATCTCTTCCATCACTCATGGCTTTCTTCAGGATTTTCTTAATAGTCTGAACTGTTCTCTCGCTCTGTCCATTTGACTGAGGATAGTGAGGACTCGAGGTATCCTGGTTTATTCCCCATTCTCTTGCGAAGTTTTTAAAGTCATAACTCCCAAATGGCATATTGTCAGAGACAATTGTCTCAGGAATTCCATGTCTAGCAAATATAGACTTTAAGTGTAGTATCACGGTCTTGGCCGTTTTGTCCTCTAAGTAAGAAATCTCTGGGTATTTGGAATAATAATCTACCACAACCAGGTAGTCTTTACCCTTCAAAGTCATAATGTCCGCTCCAACTTTCTCCCATGGCCTGTGTGGTATCGCGTGCGGAATCAAGGGCTCCTTTCCGTTGCTTGGACGAAATTTACTGCACACCGAGCACTGGGCAACTATCAATTCTATGTCCGCTGACATTCCTGGCCAGTATAGTGAAGATCTCGCCCTTGCTTTGCATTTGTCAGCACCCAAGTGGCTTTCATGAATTAGAGACAACATGTCTGATCGTAACTTGGCGGGAATTACGATGCGCTCTCCCAGAAGAACGAGGCCTTCTGCTATGTGTAACTCATCCCTTACATCCCAGTAGGGCTGGACGTTCACTGGCAGCTCAGACTTCCTGTCAGGCCAACCGCGTTTTATAACTGACTGAAGTCTTAGTAACGTGTAATCATCAGCAGTGGCTGCTTTAATCTCCTCCAGCTTGTCTGTAGAAGCAGGGAGACTGGTAACTAGGCTGTGTACCATAACTTCAATATCCTCTGGAGCACCACACTTGGACTCATCCTGAATATACGCTCTAGAAAGCGTATCAGCTACATGCATGTACTTTCCTTTTATGTATCGGACAGAAATGTTGTATCTTTGTAGCTGTAACATCATACGTTGCAGTCTTGGAGATGCCTTAACGATAGGCTTCTTCAGAATAATTTCCAATGGGCGGTGATCAGTGTGAATCTCCACTTCTTTGCCATACACATACTGGTGGAATTTTTCACAGGCAAAACAAATAGCTAGAAGCTCCTTTTCTATTTGAGAATAATTTTGTTCTGCTGAAGTAAGAGCTCTCGAGGCATATGCAACAGGTTTGTTTCGTTGGAGTAAGCATGAACCCAACCCACCTTGAGAGGCATCTGTTTGAATGGTGACTGGCTGTGTCACATCATAAAACTGCAGAACGGGCTGCTTGCTTAGAGCTTCCTTTACTTGCTGCATAGCATGATCCTGCTCTGGTCCCCAATGCCATTCAATATCCTCTTTCAGCAGCAATCTGAGAGGAGCAGTTAGGCTTGACTCATTGGCTATATATGGTGACAGATATTTCACCATTCCCAAGAAACGCATCATTGAAGCTCTGTCTGTTGGCTGGGGCATGTTAATGATTGCATCGACTTTGGCAGGATCAGGTTTAAGTCCTTCTTCAGATACAATATGACCCATGTAGTTGACTGACTTCACTTTGAATTGGATTTTATCCTTGTTGAACTTGACATTCTGTTCACGTGCTCGCTGCATGACCTTATGAACTATACTATCATGCTCTGCTTCACTGCTACCTGCAATGATCATGTCGTCTGCTATGACGTGCACCCCTGGAATGTCACCAAACGCTTCCTCATTACGCTTCTGCATCACTTCACTAGCAGAGGATATTCCGAAAGGCATGCGCTTAAATCTCTTTCGGCCCCATGGGGTGTGGAAAGTGCAAAGATATGATGATTCTTCAGATAGTTTCACGTGCCAGTAACTATCCTTCATGTCAACAACTGTGAAGATGCATTTACCTGCTAGTCGGCTCTGAACATCAGCTGGCGTAGGTATCTCATATCTCTCACGCTTTATGGCCTGGTTGAGTGGCTTGGGATCGAGACATAGCCTAATGCTACCATTGCGTTTCTCTGTAATCACTAAATTGTTCACCCAGTCAGTTGGTTTGTCAACACTTGCAATGACATCTTGCTTTTCTAGCTGAGAGAGAGCCTCCTTCAACTTGTCATGCTTAGCAAAGGGTATCTTACGAGGAGCTTGCACCACTGGGGAAACACTTGGGTCAACAACAATATCATATTCTCTCTTATATTGTCCAAGTCCAGTAAAATTGTCACCATACTCACTCAATAGCTTGTCTTGGGTCAAAGGTACATTTGTAGACTGGACTATGTTCACAGGTACACGTTGTATAAGCCCTAGTGAAGCACATAACTGACGTCCAAGAATGGCTGAATAATCTCCTTCAGTCACATAGAAAGTAGCTGGCTGAGGCATAAGAGAGGGCTTGGTTGAGACTGACAGCTGTGCTTGACCCACTGGTTTTATTGTAGCATTTCCAAATGCTGTCAGAACAGCTTTAGTGACACGGAGAGGTGTCTGGCATACTTGCTTATAGGTACCCCATGGCAGCACATTGACATCAGCTCCAGTATCCAACTTAAATGTCACTGGCTTCTTGTTAATATACAGAGTCTCAGAATACTGCGTAGAACAATTGCTGCTTGTGAGACTGCCAACGAACAGCCTCTCACCTTCATCACTGCCAACAACCTCCGTGTCTAGCTGGTGTATCTTCTTTGATGATAATGGTTTCTTTCTGAAGCCTCCACCCAGACAAACAACGGCAAAATGATTTAACCCCGAACATTTCTTGCACTTCTTACCATAAGCTGGACATCGTTTCGGAAGGTGTGAAGTTCCACAGTACTTGCATTTAGATGTGACTTTGGCGATACGCTGTTTGCTCTTAATAGCATTGACTTCAGGTAAACTTGCCGGGACTGTCATGGCGGCCATTTGCGCTCTGCTTACTTCTGCTGCACGTGCAATGTCAAGCGCTTTTTCTAACGTAAGAGAGGTTTCCCTTAGCAATCTTTCTTTGACTTTAGGATCCAATACACCAAATACGAGTTTGTCTCTGATTAACAAGTCTTTTTGTTCACCAAACTCACATTTGTCGCTTTGCCTTCTCAGCTCCGTTATCCACGTGTCTACGGATTCCCCTTCTTGCTGACTTCGGCTCCAGAATTGGTATCTCTCAAAAACTACATTGCGCCTGGGCTCACTGTACTGTCTAAATTTTGTCAAGACCGCGTCTACATCTTGTTTCTGTGAGTCATCTTCAAAAGTGAACGTGTTAAAAATATCTTGCGCCTCCGGGCCTGCAGTGTGAAGCAAGATGGCGACTTGCGTCGCGCCAGACTTTTCTCCTAATTCGCATGCATTATAGTACACCTTGAATTGCTGCTCCCATTTACGCCAGTTTGTAGCCACATTTCCACTCTGGAAATTAACGTGTGCAGGTGGTTTCAAGGTTTCCATTGAGAATCCCGCTTCTAGACACCATATAACAACTGCCTTGTTGTCAGGACACGTGTTTATTAGAATCAGCTCACTGAGATACACAATGACCTCCCAGGTCAATACACACATCATATAGGTGGCGCGCTGCACAATATGTGACA